CTATGATCTCTTTGAAAAAGTGGCTCCTACAGTGATATGTTTGCTTAGGCACATTATCTACGTCTTTAGTTTTCACCTAAAAAGAAAAAGAGGCGTAAGAAATTAATCCCACGGTTAGAATACAATGGCACAGACTCATTTACAAAAAAGACTACACAGTTTCTCCTCATTAATTTATCATTTAATATAAATGCTGACAGAAAGCAGATAAAGACCTTGTAGACACTTCCACATATTTACAAACCAAAAGGTGAATCACCTCCTTCTACATGTTAAAATAATCCTTTTATCTGCAACTCATGGGAGCCCTAAACTCTAACTAGGAGCAACATGAGGCTGAGTCAGTTTTCGAAGGTAATAAAGGAAAAAGCGTTTTTAACAAAATGTGGCGTCTTTGACATCAACAACATGCACATGGCTAATACAAAATTGAAGATGGCTCTAATCCTCTCAAAAACCTGCAAGAAGTGGAATACGTACTTATTCAGACCCAGAGTTCTGCTGCCCTAAATCTCTTCCTACCACTATCTCTGTTTTTCCACCTCACTTGATTAGAAGACTGCTTAAAAAACTAGAACTATAAACAGATTTTTAAAAAGAGAGGAAAATGGCTCATTTCAAATGGGATTCTCTTCCATATTGCAAAAGAACCTCCCAGAAAGAAAGTCTTCAAATAAGATTTCAGTTTGCCAAATGCTAAGGAATTATTCACATCTTGTTAAATTCCAACCTGCTGTCTGTCTTCACTTTTTTTAAAAGTTGAAAACACTGGAGAAAGTAAAATTTCACAAGCCCAGCAATTTCAAAATCAGCTGTCACTTTAAGGCCCAATATTTTTATTTCTGAATACGTGGTGGAGGCAGACAAGAAAGAACAGAGTTGAAACAAGGATAAAAATAGGAGTGCAAGAAAACGTTAAATAAAGTACTTAGTCTAGCACTGATTTTTAACAGAAAGCTTACATTTCACTATGCAAAACTGTGATTTCATGAAATCATTTATATTCTGACTCAAATCTCATGGGCTCCTGTATTAACCTAGATTATTTTTGTCTTGTTAAGTATACCTCTGCCGGGCACAATCACATACAATCAATACGATTGGTAAATTACACAGGCTCTATCCCAAGCAAATATGCATCAATGTTAAAAAGTTATTTAAAAAACCAAAATAAAATCCACCCAAAAAGGTGATAATGACTGCAGAATGTCTCGGGGAGACTGATATGAGCCTAAAGACCAAATCGACCGTAGTCAGGGGAACAGGGCAGGGGTGACAAGGAAGAGACCACACACAGGAAGAGGAATCTCACAACTGGAAAGCGTTCAGGTGGGTGAAAGGTTTTGTTCATTATCTTCATTCACTTTTTCCGCTGCTCGTGTTCCAAAAAGCCGTAGATTTATCATAAAGTAAGATAACGAGGCCCAGGGATCAATGAATGACATGAAACCCTCCCCTGCCCCCCAAGTTCCTTTCCTTCCCAGGAGGTGGGAAGAGAAGCAAGGAGAAAGGGGCTAATGAAAATTCAGGCAACAACACACCTGTTAAAAGCAGTTCACAGGGTAGTGTATCAGTTGAACAGAGGATGTAAAAATAATAAACAAAAGCTTAACATGCCTTCAAATTAGAGCAATATTTTACAGGATGGTTCAGATATTACACTAACACAATTCTTTAAAATCAGACAAAAGCAAAAAACCAAAACAAAACAACCCATCCAGACACCCAACAGTTTGTTTCCATCCTTTCCTTGACCTTTTCGCACACCAGCTGGGGTGGGGGAGGGGCTACCGGACAGTTTCCAGTTATGACTTTCTGAGTGAGTGTACAGCCGAGAATGGATGCCAAAGACTTGTGAGCTCTGTCTATGTAGTTACAAAGCAAAACTCAGCCCAACCCAACCGACCAGGAACGGTTAAGACCTCAATACAATAGCTCACCTTGTGTAGTATACAATACATTAATGCCACAGGAGTTTGTTTTTCTAAATCTACATTTTTGGACACAATCTTGTCTTGAGGCTTAAGTTCTCTCTCTCAGGTATTGTGCCTTATTTTCTTGTGAAAATAAAGGTTATTATTCTTGGGATGTTTTGCTCAGAAATAAAGTTTAGGGGAAATTCAGTGTCTAGCTGACAGTTCAGAGGCTCTGCAAACAAGGAGTCCAGTGGCAGGCAAGTCCCTATATCACAACAGGATTTCTAAAGGCTCCTTACCCGCTTTCGCCAGTGCGGTACTGCAAATGCATCTGTCGGGGACAAGTTATCAGGAGTGTGACTTCTTGGCGGTGGCAGTTTCCTATTCTTGATCAACATTATAGGTAGTATTGCTTATCAGTTAGACTCTACTACCTGTGAAATATCTTTAAGAACCAAAGAAATAAAAATCTTAAAAACCAAATCTTATTATAATTAAGAGTACCTTTGGACAAAAACAGCTTTCTTTTTCAAGTGGCTCAGAAAAGGTGAATTAAGAATTAAAAAATATATATGTATCGCCCTGTCCAGGTAGCTCCGTTGGTTAGAGCATTGCCCAGATACGTCAAGGTTGCGGGTTTGCTCTCCAGTCAGGGCACCTAGGAGTCAACCAATGAATGCAAGAAGCGGTGGAGCTGCAAACCGCTGTTTCTCTCTCTCTCTAAGATCAATAAATAGAAAAAGTTGTTTTAAAGAATTTAAAAATATATTAACTGCAATCCGCCTACAACTCCCGACAAGTCATTTCAGCAGGAAAAAGTCATAAAGCTGAGCTAAAGCAACAGCTAAATGTAAAAGTCATAGCCGTCCAGGGCGGGACGAGCGCGGCCCGGCAAGTGGCACCAGGGAAACGGCGGCAGGCGCCACCCCGCCGCCGGCAGGGGCCGCGGGCTTCGTGCGGAGCCTTGCTTGCTCTCTAAAGGGACGGGCTGATTCTTCAGGGAAGAGAACGCTGTAACAGTGGAACAGCAAATTAAAAGTGAACAAAATTGGACTCTTTGAAGGTAAAAATCTAAGTAAACACTGCAATTCATTTCCAGGCATGTTATTAATTTCTCTTAAAAAGTAACTGGGCCTTTCCTTTTAATGAAATATAAACCATTCCAGGTGCTTTTAATAGAGAGACTTTATAAATGAGTTTTTACTCAATTCTCCAAAATGAGCAAAACGTGGAAAAAAGATGGTAAGACCTCCATCCATCACTATTTGTATACAAGTAATAGTAACCAAATACTCTTCAGTGAAGAGTATTTTTCTCCGAATCTGAATATAAGCTGATACACATAGCCTACAGTCAGTTATTTCTCAGCAGTCATATGCTCACGAATTCTTTTACCCGGCCCCATGACCTGGCCATAGCAACAGGAAATTGTTCTTTAGGCACAAGTGAAAAAAAACAGAAACACACAAGATGTTATCAGGACAAGATAGTCTCAAAAAAGGGGGGAAGGGACAGCTTACACATCATATTGTCTAAGATGATAGTCCCTGGTGAAAGAGAAGCTGATGAATGCTCATTACTTTTACATTTTATAAGGCCAGCTAACTTTAACAGTTAACTTCAGATAAATCTACTTACACAGTACAATCAGCTCACAAATACTCAAAGGTTTCACAATCAAAATGGCTATTTCCCCCAAACCAAAACAGAGTAAAGCACAAGTCTTTGGCTCTCCTTTAAAAACAAACAAACAAACAACAAACAAACAGCAGGCTACCATTCTGAACCAGACCTTTGTTTGCCTACCAGTAGGGCAAATACCACATTTGTGCATCACTGAGTAATAACACCATTAGAAAAGGCAACTTCACAGAAGTTATTGGCTAAGCGAATTCATTTGAATGCTCTGTTGTGAGGCAGCAGACTGTCACTGTTGCAGATTGGGGAGGGTGGTGGGTTAGTAAACCAAGGGGCATTTGCAAGACAGAAAAGGGCCAGGACAAGAGAAGAACAACTTTGTGGCCCAACCCTGAAGACCTATGTGGGCAGTCAGATGAAGTTACGTATTCAAGTAGCAAATGAGAATCGCATCAACTTTGTCTTTCAGGCAAAGGAATAAACAAGTGGGAATGATGAGGAGAAGGGGAGTGGATGAGAAAAGAGACTCAGCCACATTAATGCTGTACCAAATCATATACATTTTGAGCAGCTGCGTATTTGTAGCTGGCATTAAATAGTGTCTTGTCATCTGAATGACAACATTAGTAGAAACCTACGCTATAACTTGATTAGAAAAGTAACAAGGAATAGATCTTTGGTCATCTTAGCCTCTAAATTAGCCAAGACAGGGCAGCTATTGGACTTATCTTGTAACAATATTATCAGTAAGACAAAAAGAATTACATGTCAGTCAGAAATTGAATGTAGGTATCTTAGTCTCAGTTCTTCTAAACTTTGCCAGAAACCCCTTGGAAAAAAAAAATTAAGTCAAAATACTTGTACATTCCTAGCTATGATAAAGGCCCGGTTTTTATTTAAACAATAGTAAACACAGTGCTTGTTATTCCTACCTAAGCCTCTCAGAATTATTCATGCTCATCTGAGGTGTCCAAGGCGTGCTTTTGAATTCAGTGAAATAGTCATCTTCAGAATAAATTAATATTTTAATAAGTAGAAAGTATAAAAACTGTGTCTCCTATCTGACTGGTTTAATCTCAACTCTTTCTAAAGGTATAAATTTTAAAAGCCAGAAAAATTAATGCCTTTTGCAGACTTTGACTAAAAAGCAGTTAAAGAGTCAGGCAGTTTTGCCAAAACGGGCCGCTTCCCCTCACAGGCTCACCATATCATAAAACGTATCATTGAGAAAAGGAGAACGGAAAATGGACCCCACACTTTGGAGGCTTCACCGAATTCCTAAAACTGCTCGTGAGCTCTAGGAAAGCCGTAGAGCACCCAGGAGGTAAGGCAGGACGGCCAAGCCGGTGCAGGGGAGGCCCGGCGCCGTGGCCAGCACCCACCCCCGCCTCTCTCCACGGCCAGCCTTCCTGGACAGTGTGGGGCCTGGGTGGGGGGGGGGGGGCTTCGCTGGAATTAAGGCTGCGATCGGGGGATCTCCCTACCCCCCAAATGCAAATACCGTAAAAAGCGAAAGGAACTATTTTAAATCAATTCCAAGCAGCGGCTCTCCCTGTTTTATTCAGAATGGGAACACTGTATAAGTTAATCCCTGTTCCTGACTAGTGTGGAAAATCAAAATGGTGAAAGCAAGAATGAGTGCATTTGAAAGAAACAAGAATAACAGAAATTATTAGGGGTTACCATACATACCCAAATGGAATTTTACTTTTATTCTGAACTTTCACAAAATCAACATCCACAAGTTTCCTTCTAATACCAGAATCATTTTGAGTTCCAAATGGAACCAACTGCTTCGAAAATTTCAGTTACCTAACACACCCAAAGCAGAAGCGAGGCGTGCCCAGCTCTGCCTGCCGAAGGCTGGGGGCCAAGAACGCAGCCTTCTACCTTATACAGAGAAGTGGAACATCTTGGGACTCTGTCAGACATGCAGAGTTTCTCTCCTCACCCCCCCCCCCAAAAAAAACAAGCACTTAAAGAGTAAATATAAGAGGGTTTTAAGCAAAACAAACAAACGAAAAGCAAAAAAGCAAGTGTATTAACAAAGCAGGAAAATATGGGTTTCCAATGAAAAATGCCTCATCTATATTCAGTGCTTCTACCTCCCAATCAGTCATTTTATCGCAACAGCTGCGCTCATGCGAAAAAATCCTTAAAACATACCCAATATATATACAGATATAGCTATGTATATATGTATATATATATAATATATATAAATTTTTATTTAAATAAAAAAGAAAGCTCGAATCCCAAGCCAATATGTGTATATCAAATCCTTGACCAGCCAGGTCTGTAGGGCATAATCAAATTCAATGTGAAATAGTATATAAACACGGTGCCTTGACTGGGCAAATTAAATAATCGCTACTCAAAAGAGTGTTCTGTTTGGACTCTCCTACTGGTAGGCAATGGCAGGATGGTCGTCCCCCCCCCCGCCCCCCCAATTGGTTTCAGTGAACAGTATGATGGGCGCAGAGCTTAGACTGAGGTTCTGACGACCTCAGCAAGAGTTCAGGGTTCAGAAAACAAGAAACAAGAAAAATACAAACTCTTGCTTTTCCCCAACCAAAGCAATGCAGTAACTTATTACATAACCAGTGCTTTCTGTTTTAGTAGTATAATCCAGAAAGGGAAATCGTGAAAGGCAGGCAAACCGAGGGTCGGCGGGTGGTGACAGCACAGGCCCCCACCGAACATGTCGCAGGGTCTTAGCTCAGTACAGACGCGCCATCAGAACATGTGCAGTGGACTGAACAGTGAAAGTTCTTCTCTGCTCTTTTCAACATTGTCACGAAGAACCTTTTCAGTGGTGCAAAGCCAAGTCTCTAGAAACTGACTTCTAGGCACTTGCTACCTTCTCGTGCTAACGGTTCTGAACAGCAACGACTGATCAGTTCAGACTGTCCTTGAGCCCCAGGCAAATCTCTTTGAAAGCCAGGGTGCCACTCTGTACGGCTGTTATTTCATACTTTGGGGTTTGGAGGGTCAAACAGAAGCATCCAGTGAAATAACGTGGCTCTGTTCGTGTTAAGTTCAAATCGAGTGCTGATTGTCCTGGTTTTTTAACATTCTATGATTTCAGCCGAAGTTCAGTTTGGAAGAGCACAGATCCAGATTTCTGACCATCAGCTCAATAGAGGTAATACACTAACGGTGTATTTTCAGTGCCAATAAATTGCAGTTCCTTTTTAAAAGAATCTCCATTGGAGTCTAACCAACAGCCTAAGACACTGACTCGGCTTTCTGATCACATTAAGAGAATGAAAAGGATCCATAATGTGGAAAATGAGGACTAACTAAACTAACTGTCTGGCAATCGTCTCTGAAAAGTTAAAAACAAAAACAAGACTATTTTAACCTCCCCTGCACAACAACAACGACACAGTTTTAATGACAGAAAAACACACCTTTGCGTGAAGGGAGCGGCCCAGAGAGGGCAAGCCCGTTGCGGCTTCCGAAGGACAGCTCTCTCGGTGAACCTGGTTTGCTGCACATTTTCTAATAACTAGTCTGATACTGTCTTTTTGTTTGTCAAGCACCACAGACTTTTCAGAAAGGCTGGTGCTTTTTGTCTGGTTTAATTTATGGGGTTGTGAGAGGGGGAAAGGTTGCAAGGAAGGACTTATACACTGGGTATGTAATAATACCAAAATACAAGAAAAGCCTACTTCATTAAGATCATACAATTAATCAAACAGAGTGTATATATAATATCTTCTTTTTTTAAAGCCCTGGATCCAAGGCGTCCAAAGTTATTAAAAATAAAGTTCATTCACAGAACAAAAACAAATTTAATCTGAATTGCTTGCAGATACTGCTTATTTTCTTTTTCTTTTTTCTTTTTTTAAATTAAAAAATGCACTGGTGTGAGCGACGTGCAGGGCTGCCGAGGGTCGCGGTGGGGCGCGCATCCCCTCGCGCTCCCCTGCCGGCCGGCGCCCTCAGAGGGTGGCGCCCGAGTCCCGTCCCTCGGGAGAAGCTGCGAGTGCGGCCCTCCCTTCTTCAGGGAGCAGGACTGGGCGTGACCCCCGATCTCTGGGAGTCGTTGTTGTCTCCTCCTCCCTCGGGGTCCTCGGACAGGTTCAGAGAGCTGGCCTGGTTTGATAGGAGGTTGATGTTCTCTTGTGTCAAGGCCGATCCATTTGGTACATCACTGTTAACATTTAAAGAAAAGGAGTTGGGATTTTTTAAAAAGGAGATCAAAAAGATGACTTCGTAGAATAAAATCAAAAGGCTGTTCTTTTAGCAGTAAGGAGACTATATGAATAGCTTTCAAACTTCAAAGCTGGCCAGCTGCCAGTTTTTGTAATGTTTACTGGCACACAGCCTGCCCGTTGTTGACGTATTATCTATGGCTGCTTTCACACCACAATGGCAGAATTGGGAGTTTTGACAGAGACCGTAAAATCCATAATTTTAAATATTTCAATCCTTCCTTGAAAAAAAAGTGCTGATCCCTTACTAATACAAGAAAAGTTTTTGAAACTCCCAAAATGCATAGATTTACCCTTAGCCTGAAAGCAACAGGGCATGAGCAGTCATTGTTACTTATTATCAGGAGGGTAAGTCGGGATCATGTATGAAAAGTCTCAGATCCCCGATACGTGTCCTTCCACACTTGTAGACGAATCATTCGATGACATGGGACAGGCCCAAGTAAAAACCAGGCGGACGGAGTGAGGGGTGAGTGGCAGGGTTCAGAGGAAAGCTCAATGTGCACACACTTTTTAAGGAGACTGGAAAGGTGTGCATCAAAACGTAAACATTGGTTTCAAATCAATTAAAAAACAGGGGAAGAAAGGTAGTAAGAAAATTTCTGTTAAGTCTTACAGATAATTCAATTCAGTGTGGGGTCTATTCTACAATAAGTTTTATAACTCCTAAATTCATGTAAAAATATTCTTTCCTCAATGTACACAGAACAGTGACATTTTAAACATCAAATCATATTTCCAAGGGCATTTCTGTCATGACTGGGTCATACATGACTAGGAAGACGGCCCTTCCTTTACCTGAATGTCAATGCAAGGTCCTCAGCTGGAACCCTGCTTTGGGGGTCTGGCTGTCCGTTTTCTGCTTGCTTACTTGTGTTCAGTTTGCTTTTCATGTCCAGAGAACACTGGTTCTCCTTTGAAAAGGAAGGAAATAAATTCAGTTACCTTCTATTTAATGATGCAAATGAAGACAGACCAAACAAAGATACTATAAACTGATGATCCTTTTAGGATTTTTTTTTTTAGTTTTTGTAAAATGACCAAAGAAACAGGCAGACTAAAAGAGAGACAGACACAAAAACACAACAGAGTACAACCCACTGCTCACTACCCAGGTTGGACAATGAGGAGGGGAATGCCTCAAGTTAACACGGAAATAGCTCACATGAAGGATGACTTAGAAAAAGCAGGCCAAATACCTTTAACTCTCCTGCCTTCCCTCCATGGGCTTTGTAATGCAGACAAAGAACACGCTCACACCAGGAGGGATGAAGAGAGGAATGAAAGACTGGATGGAAGCCCATCTCCGTGAGACGTGTTCTAAGTACTAATCACTCATTGGAGAGCTTTGGGGTGATGATCTGTAGTTCCAGAGGATTCCAGAACTCCAGAGCCAGGAGTTCTGTGACACAACTACAAAATTTTCCTGCCGCCTTCCCTTTCTTTTCCCACCATAACGCTCACCATACTCAGCTCCCGGGTCCTCTTCCCGATTTCCCGCTCCACTTGGTGCAGTTCCAAGCTCAGCTGCTCACTTGAGATCATTCCAGGCCACTTCGGAGGTGGTGGGGGGCGCTGCGGCTGGCCTGCCAGGGCGCTCGCCTCCCTCTGCAACAGCAGCCTGTTACTAACAGCCTAGTGTGTGAAGCCAAGCACATATACGACTCAACACACATCACACCGTGCACAGAATGGCCAGGCCTGGTTCCAGACCACAGCCACAAGCAGCTTATCACTCAGGTATTTGCAATAAACATAATGCAACTTATAAGGTACTGTCTCTTTCTTTGAGTACCACTTGAAAAGGAAAAATAGGGGATTTAAACTTAGTCAATAGCGATTTAATCTTAGGTATAAGTTGCTTGTAGAGAAGTCAACTAGAAATGTACATTGTTCCCCCTCATTTATTGAGTTTCTCTGAAGTACATCCAGTAATTTATTTCAATGAAACCTCAATAATGACAAGGACCTTTAACCAGAATTAAGTTAAATATGTGGCAAGATTCCAAATGCTGATGTTATTCTTTTGGGACAGAAAACGGGTTTAGGAATTTTAACTAAGACAAGAAGCCGTGAGTCAGCAGGAGCACTGAATTTGGAGTTTGAAGATCAGGGCTCACGTTTCAACGTCAGCGAAACTAATAAAGTTCAACCGAGGAAGGGAATAGCAACACCTGCCTGACCTGCCTGCCAGGGACATGACGCAGGCCTGACCATATGATAGTGACCTATAAACTGGAAGAACTACATTAATGAAGGTGCGATTATTATACAGAGATTTTTTTTTTAAAGGCAAAGATCTAAGCTTCTATCTTTTTAAAGGTATATAAATAAATGCTAGGAATTAAAGGAAATAAGAGAAATTTTTAAAGGTAAAGAAATATGAGAAATCAAAAATCAATCTTAGGCTAAGGCACATGTTGATAAATACCTAATGGGAAAAATTAGATAACCTGTCTCTCATTCTCAGGTAATAAAATCCTAAGCGTCCCATTGTCTCAGAAATAAACTCGAAGTGCATACAATTCTTCAAAGAATGGACACCCATCCTAACTCTTAAAAAGCAGACCTTAAAGTTTTGTGTTCATAGTACCTCAAAAGATCCTCCTTTTAAAATCTCTTTGAGAGCCCTTCAAAAACTGAAATAAAAAACTAGCCTGGTACCTCCAGTCCACGCAGCTGGGTCTGTTGACTGATTTGATGGTTTAGTTGCTGCAATTCTTGTCGTAGCTGCTCCCTGTCAGCAGAGGGAAGGGGTTTTCCATGACTGGCCACTTCTGACATGGATATTCTCTCTCTTTGGTGGAAAAGAAAGCATGGAATACATTAAAAATTTTATTTAAAAATCACGGACCAGAAAAACGAGAGAAGAGCAGCGCTCCGACCGCGAAGGCTTGGGAGGGCAAAGGGACCGCTCGTACCTGTCGCTGAAGTGCGCCTGGGAGGGCGCGCCCTGGTGAGGCGAGTAGGCGGAGCCGCCCCAGCCCCCGTGGCTGCCGTAGGGACTGCAGTCTGCAAGAGAGGGACTCACTGCAGCGCCCCGGCGCAGACCGGGCGCCCCCAAGGCCGCCGCGCCCCGCGAGGCCCGGCCCGGCCCGTGGTGTGCACAGCCGTCTGGGAAGATCGCCGCCCGTGTGGCAGAAGGGCTCTGATGCCTGGCTTTCCCCCCAGGGGAACATCGGTGTTTGTGATTTTTCTTTGACTGAACTTTTTTTTTTAAAAAAATGGCAATTATTATTTTAATAAAAAGCAATGAAGCTATTAAAAAACAGGCACAGAAGACAGGCAATCTTCATAAAAAGAGTTAGTTCTAGTCTGCACCCTAGAATTCCCTGGGAGCGCCTGAAGGTGGAGGTCTTGGACGACGATGGAGCATCGACAGTCAGCGGGCAGTGGGGGTGCTGGGGCTCATGGACACGGACCCTCCAGGTGAGCGTGCGCCCCAGGTTCTTACCTGGCATGTTAATAGAGTTCGTGGGAGCTCCCTGAGGTGCCATAGCCTGTAACGGGCCAGCACCCTGATACATTGTTTTGGAAGTTCGAGAGATGGCACCAAACCGCGATACTGTTGGCCGGTCTCCAAACGGGATGAGGTCGTCATCACTGGTTTCTGTCGCTCTTCTCTGATGATCCAGTCGCTGGTCTCTCACTCCTTTGCTCTCCACATTCTGAGGTCAGATGAGAAATCCACCCACAGTCAGATCTCAATTCAGGACACAGGTTAGTTACTCAGGGGGCGAGGGGGCGGGGAGGGAGATGAAACTGGGGAGGTACAGACAGGAGGATTTAACTACTTTGGTAAAGTTTTATTTCTTTAAGAAACAAAAAAATGATTAAAAGAAAACAGTGACATATTTTAAGCTTGGGTATTAGATATACTGGTGTTTCATTATTCTTTGTTAAAAAACAGAATAGCAGACAGGTAACGTTCCAGTATACCATAGCTCACTTGAGGCTAAGTAGCTACATTCTGACTCACATATTTGTTTCACTAGATGCAACTTTGTCATTTTAAACTTCAGAATTGTAAAAGAGTTATAATTTACTTGGACAAGAAATTCAAGATCTTGATTAATTATGCAAAATAACTTAATTTTTGTTCTCAGAGGCTGTTGGGTTAACTGCTAGTTGTACAGAAATGTAAGTTCTTTGTCTAGGTAAGTATTAAAATATTTTTACTTATACCTGAAAAAAAAGTATAGTTGAAATATACTTCAATTATGAAATTATTAAGTTATTCAATTATTAAATATAATTCAATTGCACTGCATAAAATATAGCCTGAAACTCTTTTAAAAAGATTTTATTTATTTTTAGAGAGAGGGGAAGGGAGGGAGAAAGAAAGGGAAGGAAATGTTGATGTGTGAGAGGAACATTGATCAGTTGCCTCTCGCACGCCCCCAACTGGGGATCTAACCCACAACCCAGGCATGTGCTCGGACCCAGAATGGAACCAGCAACCTTTTGGTTTACAGGCTGGCGCTCAGTCCACTGAGCCACCCCAGCCAGGGCTAGCCTGAAACTCTTAAGCAAAGCTCAATCATTTGTGTATACACTGTAATGGGGAATCACTTGATTTATCTTGGCTTGTATTAATCATGGCTCAGTTATTACACATACCATCATTTCCGCACTCCCTGCTGCCACAACATCTTTGGGTTTTGCATCTTTGGTTCCAATGTAGGAGCCGATGGTGTCACATGACCAGGGAGAGTACTGGCTATAATCATTTCCTTTGTATTTCCCAGCCACCTTCAAGTCTTCATCCAAAAACTACAAATGGGGGGAAAAAAGGAAAAAAAATAGGAAATGGGTCTATGAGTAAGCAACACAGAGAAAGCAGGAATTTCGTAGAACGTCATGCTGAAACAACATATGATGGTTATTTGACTTGTCACAGTACATTTTTGTAAACTACAAAAACATGTACCAGGCCCTAGTTTTGCTAAACCCTCCCTTTCATGTTTCTTTCAATAACATTCCAGGTAAATGAGAGCATGAACACTATTTTCAATGTTCTGCATGATGATGTAATAACTTTTTTACTGAAATCTCTGTAACAGTAATAATTCATACCTTGAAAGAATTCTGGTCCTGAGGTTGAGTCAATGAAATGAAAGGGATAAGATGCCTAATTTTGTTTTTTCAAGATGAGTTCTGAAGTTATGTAATGACAGAATAGCTATTCTAGGTCTACTGTATTTGTCCTGAAATCGCAGCACTCACGTCTGGGTAACGCCCTGCAGCCGTCAAAGGGCTCTGACGCACACCGGCTCGCGCGCCCCTCCAGCGCACCGAGGACAGCGCAGGCCCAGCCAGGGCCCCATCCGGCCCGGGCAGTGCCGGACCCAGAGCCTCAGTGCCGCTCCGCTCGCCCACAGGCACCCGCACTGACACCCTGGGGGCTCCCGGCACACTTACGCGGCTCTAGGGCCTCCCCCTAAAACCGCCTTCTGTTTTCTGAGTCATCATTATCGGTCTTCTGTGTGACACAGGGTCTGCTGTTTTCCAAATATCACTCATTCTCAAGCACAGTCCTCTTCCTATTGTTCGTACCTCTTTGTTTTTTTTAAATTCTACCTCTCTTTTGAAAATTCTATTTCCTTTTCCATTTCTCCTCCACTTACAAACTTTGTGTAGAGCAGCTAGCTTTTTAGAGACATGACCTACTAAGAGTGCTTTTTCCCGACTCTAATGTATTGTGCAGCTGTTAAAAACAATGAGTTAAATTTATATACTGACATATAAAACACATACAGAACCTCAAGATACATTACTAAATGATACTGTTAGTTCATGTCGAGAAAAGTAGAAATATCTAACAGACTGACGGTAGCATACAAAACGGGATCTTGGAGAAATTTGTAATGTACTTTCAGAATGTATAAAATTAATACAACTCTGTGTATGTTGTTTATAATCAGAATTGAAGTTTAATACAGTTGACCCATGACCAACAGGGGTTTGAACTGCTTATCCACTACACATGGTTACTGTTCAATAAATACACAGCTGGCTCTTGCACTCCCTGGCTCTGCACCTGTGGACGCAGAGGGCTGGCTGTACGCGTTGTTCGACGTCATTTCACATAAGGAACTCGAGCGACCATGGATTTGACATGTGGGCATATGTTGGAACCAATCCCCTGCAGATACTGAGGGACAACTGCACAGTGGGAAAGTTTTTAGGGAGTTAAAAGTTATACACTAATTTTTTGAGTACTTCATGGGGGTTGGGGACCCCATCCCGTGTTGTTCAAGGGTCGACTGAACGTAGCTTTGTACGGCAGTAACTGGTCACCATTTACGGCACGCCTGCTCTGCGCCAAATGACCTCTGTCCCATTTAATCTTCACCGCGTCGCTCGGGGCAGGCCTGCCTCACTGCGCTAGCCTTACACGTGGGGAAACTTGAGCCTCAGGCTCCAGGAAGCTAAGTAACTTACAAAAGGTCACAGGCCGAGGGAGGCGGTGAAACCGCAAAGATGCCTGATTCCATGATCAGCTCGCTTTTCACAGTGTCCTATCACTTCCCAGAGTTCTTAAAAACGGCCCGGCATAACAAGGTCCTAGGATGTCTTCAACAGTCTTCAAAAACATGCACTGTTTATACTTTACAAGTACAATTAGTTACATTAATAGAAGATGTTATGCGTTTACTAATTAATCTACATTGCTATGGATAATTCATCCAAAGTGTTTAGATAGGAAAGCTAGATATGGCAAACAGCTTTTATTTAGTAGATCACTTTTACAGACCCAGAAGGTTACTGTTTATTGCATGTGATATGATGCACTTTACTTTTCATTGTCTATTATTTATGATGTCAGACACCAATGTTGTTTAGAATAATAATTCTACCTATAAAGGATGTAAGACATTTTCCTTACATAACATCAACTGCAATAATGCCGAGTAAACCTTTGGCTTAAAAAATACACACACGCACACACACACACACACAACTGAGACAGTGTGTACAATCAACAAACCAAAATAAATAAATATATAAGATCAACCAAGCAGAGGGCTGGTTTGTTTTGTTTTGTTTTGTTTTTTTAAAGATAAAAATGGATAAATCTCTAGCAAGACTGAAAAAAAAATTACTAATATCAGAAGTAGAAAAATGAAGACCACTACATACCCTGTAGACATTAAAAAGATAATAGCACTCATTCTCAATGACTATCGGTAGTGTCCTGTAGAAATGCAAAAAAGATAACCCCCCAAATTCCAGTTTATTGCTCTGCAGGACGTCAGTCCGTTTATTCTGGCAACCTCATGTCAGTGTTCATCCTTTCCTGCCTTTCACTACTATACCAGCCTCTCTCCTAGTCTCTGAATCAACTTTACCATCCTGCTACCTTCCTCATTATTTAAATAAATCGTTGGCATATCTCATTTATAAAAATAGTATAAAACTATGGAGAGGAGAATTTCATTAATTTGATACAAAATTATCTACAAAAAAACTTAGAGCAAGTATAATGGTGAATTATTAAAAGCTCCATTTGCAATCGCTAAAAGATTGCAAATAAGTTAAGAATATGTGTTATTATTATCCCTTTCATTCAACCCTATTCTGGAGGATTAGCTATCTCAAGATAAGAAAAAAAAGAGACATAAGGATTGAAAAGCAAAAAGCAAAATGGTCATTATTCACAGAGGATATGACTGTGTGCACAGAAAACCCAAAAGGAACCACTATCAAATACTAAGATTAATAAGAAAATTTAATAGGACTGTTGAAATGTTAAGGGCCAATGCAATCTATTTTCTCTAAATTAAAAGCAAAGAGAAATAAAATTTCAAAAAGGATTCCATTTAAAAAAGCTTAAAAAATCAGTTATCTAGGAACAAGTTTAATGAAAGATGTGCAAGACTAAAAACTATATGACATATGATATTACTGAGAGAAGTTAAAGAAGTTAAAGTAAGTGGAGGGCAGACCATGTTATTGGAGACTCAGTATTTTTAAAAAGATGTCATTTCTCCCCAAATAGATCTCAAGCAACACTGTTTAATGGAAATATGAGACCCACACATGCAATTTAAAAATTTCTGGTAGCCACATTAAAACAATAAAAATAAATATTTTTAAAGCTAATATATCCAAAGCATTATCACTTTACGATATAATTAATAGAAATATATTAATGGAGAGCTTTACTTTTGGGGGGTACTAAATCTTCAGATGCACTGTGTTATTTTACGCTTAGAGTATGTGTAAATGTGTACCAGCCACATTTTAAGCACTCATTAGCCATATGTGGCTGGTGGTTACATACTAAACAGCATGGGTCCAGAGAGTCAATGTAATCCTAATAAAAACCACAGCGGATAGCCCTGCACGGGCGGCTCAGTTGATTGGAGCATCGTCACATACACCAAAATGTTGCAGGACTGATTCCTGGTCAGGGGACACATCTAGGCTGCGGGTTAGTCCCTAGTCGGGGCACATATGGGAGGCAACCCATCAATGTTTCTCTTTCTTTCTCTCCCCCTTTCCCTCCCTCTCAAAGCAATAAACACACCCTTGAGTGGGGATTAAAAAAAAAAATTGAAACAGATTTTTTTTTTGTGGACAACAAAATGATGATTCTGAAATGTGTCTGGATATTTCAAGGACCAAGAACAGCAAAGGTAACCCTGAATAAGAGCAAAACTGAAAGACCAAGATCACTATATATTAAGACATATTATAAAATTACACTAAGACAACGTGGTGTTGGTGTTAAGAACACAGAAATACATCAATGAAACAGAGTATGAGCCATGAACCATATACAGTCACCTGACCATGACAAAGATGACTCGATTATGATAAAGGTGACTGCAGGGGACGGAGGCGAGAGTGTCTTTTCATTAAACGGTGCTGAGTCAATGAGATACCCTTTGGGGGAAAAAGTGGATCTTGACTCCTAACATATTAGAATAAAAAATCAATTCCAGATAGACGTCCACATGGGGAATAAAACAGTAAACCTTTTAGAAGAAAACATAGGAAAATATTTTCATAACCTTAAGAACAGGCGAAGATCACTTCAGTGGGACACATGAAACCACGGATAAAGGAGAAGGGGAAACAGCCGAAAAATGCGGTGCTCACCTCCTCTGGGTGGAAGGTGGGAGGCAGTGTTGGTGAGGGAGCGAAAGGCGGGGGAGAGATAACCTTCCTTTCCTCTAGCTGGGCCATTATTTCCTTTCGTCTTCGATGCAGCTCATCTAGACTGGGATGGGGCTGAGGAGGAGGAGGGAGCCGGCTATACGGTGGCTCCTGCAAATGCAAACATAGTAAAAACTAAAAAGAAATTTCAGAACACATTAATTTATTTAGCACATATTTTAAAAAAGCAGCAGCTTCTATACTCATCTTAACATTTGGAACTACCAAGAATCAAAGCAAAACAACGCACCCTCTTCAATTTCCAGGATTTACCAAAGAACTAAATTTAAGTGTTTTTTTTTCTCGGCCAGAGACCACAATTTCCAAATTGATCTAGAATTGTTAATAAAACCACCTAAACTTCAGAAACTAAGAAGGATTATTAGTGAGAGTGGGATAGGAATTTTTTTCCCCCTTTAACAGTTCAATTTAAAAAACAAAACAAAACAAAACAGCCCTGGCTGGTGCGGCTCAGCGGACTGAGCACCAGCCTGCGAATGAAAAGGCTGACAGTTTGGCGCCCAGTCGCGGCCCAGGCCTGGGTTGAGGGCCAGGTCGCCAGTTGGGGGTGTGCGAGAGGCAGCCAATTGTATCTCTCTATGCTCCTCTTCCTCTTTCTCTCTCACTTCCCCTCTCTCTAAAAGTAAATAAAATCTTTTAAAAAACCCCAAAAAACCCCAAAATAAACAGGCCCTGGTCAGGTGGCTCATTTGGTTGGCGCATCATCCCATGTACCAGAAGCTGTGGATTCAATTCCCGGTCAGGGTTCACACTTGGTTGTGGGTTTGACCCCCAGTTGGGGTGTGTGCTGAAAGCAACTGATCTGCTTTTCTCTCACATCAATGTTTCTCTCTCTCTCTCTCTCTAAACACCAATGTATATATCCCCGGGCAAGGATTAAAAAAAAAATTCTACCTAAATGATGACAAGATGAAAAATAAAGGCATGCTTTCTTACTTAAAAAAAAGTCACTCTAAGCAATAATCAAACTAAATCAACATAGTGATAAGAAAAAAAGACAGCATACTCGGATGTACGAAGATCTGATCTGAGTCGGATGAGGGGCCACTGGGTAGTAACCCTCCGCCTGCTGGTACCTCTCTCTGGATTCCGGTACGTAGGATGGCACGGCTGGAGGTGGAATCTCAATGGAACTTTCTCGGAAGATCTCCTCTCTTGGATAAGACTGAGCAGGGTAGACGCGGCGGCCGTCGCAGTGAGGCGGGTACATAGGTGGGTACTGGTGTGGCTGCGTGCCGTACGGCGGGTTTATGACGCGGTCCGGGAGGTAGGGCGAGTAATGATCCAGGTAGGGCGGGGCGGGCTCTGGAGCGGATGGCGGGGGCCGGACGAAGCGGGACACGCACTGTGGCGCCGTGTAGTACATGCCTGGGCGTTGCAGAAGAGCGACCATGAGTCCACCTGGTTTGCCACATACGACTCTGTCCATTAAAATACTTAAACGCTAGATAATGAACAACCCACTAACTTCTTCAGATGTTTTCCTCTCTGCTTATGTACTCGGGTTAGCTTTATGAAAAATAACATGTCAAAATTGTCCTTTAAAGTTATTGGGACAAACTCATCTATTTATAATTGGCAACAGTAGACTGGCTCTCTCAACTGTTTGTCCCTCAGGTAGGCCTGAGACACAATGCAGACAGGGAAAGCAGAGCCACACTTCCCTGACAGTCAGGTTGCACACGTCCCGAATGTGCGCCTGAGTTCGCGGGAAAGAGACCTGGTGCAGATGTAGCCACTACTCTCTCTCTAGCGCTGGGACGACGACAGCTGTGGCGGGAGCTTCCCGATTCCTGACTGCCGCTGCGCGTGACGCGATCCAGGGCCAGCAGTCAGGACAGAAGTTCCCCCTTCCCACGGCCTCCTCGCTGTTAACAGGTTCTTTCGGCAGCTGGTTCTGGGACTTGTTGCTGAAGGCCTACCTTAAGCCTGCTCTTCCTGCACCCTTCCCTGATTTTACAGACATCTAAACTTCCTGCATTAAACCTCTTTCTGCTAAATATTGAACGCTAACTGATACACTGTATTTCAGGTCACTTCAACAAAATAATAGCTCTAAACTATTCCTGACACAGAGATCCAGCACTTCAGTTTAAAAATTGGGTGTTTGCCCTGGCCAGTGTGGCTCGGTTGGAGCACGGTGCCATACACCGAAAGGTCATGGATTTGATTCTCAGTCAGTGCACACAGGAGAGGCAATCAATCAAGGTTTCCCTCTCACACTGATGTTTCTCTTCCTCTCTCTCTCTCTCCCCCCCCCTTCCCCTCTCTCTAAAATCAGTAAGCATGTCCTCAGGTGGGGATAAACAAATTGGGTGTTTATTTTTTTCATACGAATTGTATATATGAAATCTCAGTCATCTGCTGTCCTTCATTCTCCATACTTAGTATTATCATTAAAACTGGCTAATTTTTCAAGTTTGTCTATTTTCTAAAATCCCTCCTCTTCTTTCCCGCCAGACTAATTCAGATCTCAATCTTAACACTCACAGCTGGATTAGGAATAGCGTCCTTACTCCTTACTGACTCCAGTCTCGTTCCTGCAGTCTACTGGCAAGTATTTCTTTCTGTCCCCAAGCTCTCTATTGAGGGCTTTCCTCCATAAAGTCTTTTTAATCCCTCAAGCTCTTAGTGAGCTCCCAGTCTTGCACTTTTTGCTACCACACTAATACTAACCCACACAACCATACACCTGACTCTTGACATTCATACAGTGTATACAGGCATACTTTGTTTGATTGCATTTCGTTTACTGCATTTCACAAATAACTGCACTTTTTAAAAATGGAAGGTCTGTGGCAACCCTGCAGGAGCAGGTCTCTTGGTGCCGGTTTTCCCACAGGCCCAGATGACGATTAGCCTTTTTTTAACCAATAAAGCATTTTTAGTTAAGGTATGTATAGTATTTTTAGACATAATACTATCACACAGATTAATAGATAATAGTACAGCGTAAGCATAACTTTTATGTACACTGGGAAACCAAAAAGTCCGTGTGCCTCACCTTACGGCGGTCTGAGATCAAACCCGACCAACGCGAGGCGGGCCTGCACGTGCACGCACACGCTGGGTGTTCTGCTCTTTCCTAATACTGCTTCCACGCTGTAAACTCTGTGAATGCTGCGTTTCCCATATATATGACCGGACCCAGAAAAATATTAGGTGATAAGTGAAAGGAAGAAAAATACACTGTGCCTATTTAATTTATACCCACTGTAATATTACAATCTTTTTTCATGCTTGAAGAAAATTTTGGTCAGGAAAATATATACTCTCCTAGCAAATTTCCATTGTCTACGTGGGTGACTTGTTATTTCCATAAATATAAGAAAACAGTTAATATCCAAAAGCTGTAAAGCTCTGCTACTCCATTTGTTTCATACTATTTAAGCAATCATAAAATCTGTTTTTCCAAAGCATTCAAAGAGACACTCATCCCAAGGAGGCTGCCGCAGGCCTGAGCGCTCTGCCCTGGCGCTGCCCTCATGAGCCTTCCGGAAAGTGAGTGCAGTACAGGAACGGCCATTACCCTGCTGATAAGGTGCCGGCTCAAATGGCGGGGCCGCCCCCCGAGGGTCCTGGCAGTAGACGTCTGCCTGCTGCGCCGGGTACAGCTGAGGGCCCCGCGGCACCATCTGAAGCGGCTTGGTGACAGGCATGGGAGGCAGGTCTGTGGGTCCCCTTGGAGGTACAGGATGTGGATTCACAGCTAAGGCAGGAATGCTCTTGGGCACAGATTCTAGCCTGTAGTAATAAAAGTCTGCAAGTCAAATTGAAGGTCTTGAATTGTACACAGATTAATTGTAAAAAAATAAAGAAACTATTTTCTTCCAATAGTCATTCCTTCTACAAAATTTACAAACTTTCATCTTATTTCACCTATGTTAACTTTCTTAAATCAGTCATACAATGAAATAAAAATAAAAAAACAAAATCAGTTACAAAACACTGATTCTTCTTCCTTCCCTTCAGTTTACATTTATAAAGAAGAAACTTCAGAAGTTAGGAAAACGACGTACAGGTCAGGAGGGGACCCAGGGGCACTGCTGCTCAGGTGATCGGTCTTCCCCGGCTTCAGACTGGAATCGTAGCTGGGGTCCGTCCCTCGGGGGATCAGCTGCGTGACTGTGTTCCCTGCCGACACAATGCCGTTGGGCAGAGCGGGGGGCTTTCTGCTGGGCAGATCCACGGTGCCCTCGTCTGGGAGGACAGCTGCCGCGGGCAGGCCCACCTCATTCAGCTGACCCAGCGAGGCGCTAAGGGGCCTTCTGGGAACCAGGCGTTTGTTCATCTTACGAAATCTATACGAAAAGCAAAGGCACACACCAACACAAAAATTCAAAAGCAAAGCCAACAACGCGAACATAGTTAGGAAACAGATATAAAAGATTCCACGTACATTATTTTCTAGAAACTCTCTTCAAACATTGACTTTAGCTATATCAATGAGTATGTGTGTGCACGCACATGCATGTTTATGTATGTATATTCTATAAAATCTTCAGCAAGACGCACTAAGTGTAAAATTACTCATAATATTCGTAACACTACAAATCATGCTAATTAATATTTATATGAATGTAACCCAAGTTATTTTTATTGAAATTTCTCTTTCTAAAACTTACTGGAGTAGGGGGTAGAAAAATCTTTAGAAGACAGTTTTCTGAAAGATTTTATATGAGGCTCCCCTCAAATGCTTTGGGATACCATGAGCCTATATTATAAATTAGGAATAAAACAAAAAGCCAATGTGCACTGAGAAAAATTTACTATTTATTCCATTAAAATATTTAAGTAATCCAGAATTGTAATTTGTGTCAGGTCTGATTCAGAGATGCTGATGTTGTGTGTGTCTGCGTAAAACTGAAAGTATTTCAGAACCGGGTTAATGGAAACAACGTAGAATGATGCCTAAATTTAAACATATGCTTTGGTATAAAAGGCACGTTAGAGTCTAAATCTAACCACAGGAAAAAAATTAAGCCATCAGACTCTAGCATCTTTGTTCCTCAGCAATGAAAGCAAATCATTTACACCTATCAAGTGCATTTGAAAAAATTTCAAACAAAACCCCCAAAAGAGTAACGCTATTTTTTCAAATATTTTCCATACGTGACAAATTTCTGGGGGAAACCACTCCTAACAGTTTGGTATATAATCATACAGACTTTCCCTCCATTCGCTTCCTCACTATTCTTATGTACATAAGATCATTTATAGAAATAGGGTCATACATGACTGATTAGTAATTGTTTTTCCTCCACTTCATAATCTTGGCTAATCCTTTATGTTAGTACATTTTAAGTTATTCCTAATTTTTTGCTATTAAAACAATGTAGTGACAGATAATTATGTACATACATGTGTTTGCATCCTTGTGTGAGTAACTGGAAGCAGAATTGCTAAGTCTCATGCATGCATATTAGAAACTATTTTAATGTTCTAAAACAATTATAATCCCTATGGATAATAAGGGTCTTTTTCTCAGTATCTCATCAAACACTGGGCAGCATTGGTCTTTGTTAACTGCTAGTTCTAGAACACCAAGCTTTGTTTTAATTTGCATTCTTTAGCAATGAGTGAAGGTGAACACAGCTTCACGTGTTTACAGTGATTAGTATTCTTCCGCTATTTGCTCATTCATGCCCATGTTCCATCTGTCTCCTGGCCCTTCTTTCTTACAGACTTGTAGGAGCTCCTTCTGTATTAGGGATATCAGCCCTTGTATATCATTTCCCCATTAACCTTTTTTCTTTTAATTGTGGTATTTAGGCCATTATCTTAGTTTTTAATTTTTATGTAATCAGATTTATCAATCTTTTCCTTTATGGGTACTGGGCTGTCATTCTTCAAAAATTATATAACAACAACAAAAGTCTCAGAATATTCTATGGTTTCCTTCTTAAATATTTAAATGTCTGATATATTTATAATTCATTTTGGTGTAAAGGTAAGAATCCAGCTATTATTTTTCAAATGGATAACAGTTACTCCACCCACTTTTCTATTATTGATGTGAAATGCCACCTTTAACACATATGCCAAGTCCCTGCATGTATCTGGAACTCTCTCTAGGTTTTCCGTTATATTTCATTGATTTCTCTATTTCTATGCTAATACTATATAGCCTTTATACATTTTAGTTCATAATACAGCCTAATAGTTATTAATCTAGTCCCTTTTTTAAAGAATGTTCTTGGCTACTTGCATAATCTGCCAAATAAATGAACTTGTTAGGTCCTAAAAATCATCATGTGAAGATTCTAATTGGGGTTTCAGTGAATTTACTGTTTCAGAGAAAATAAAACCTTTATAATGCCCAGGCTTATCTAAAAATATAGTATTCTTCTTTTATACAATTCTTTCCTTATGTTCCCAGCTAGTCTACTATTCAATTCATATGGGTCCTGAATACGACTTACAGTTTATAATTCGATATTTTTCTTTTTGTTGTTGTTAACACAAAAAATCTAATTTCTCTTTACTGGTTTATATGACAGCAATTCATTAAAAATATTTTTTGATTTGCAGCCTTACTGAATTTTCATTTCTTTTTTGTTAAAGATTTTATTTATTTACTTTTTAAGAGAGTGGGGAAGAGAGGGAGAGAAAGAGGGAAGGAAACATCAATGTGAGGAACATCAATCAGTCGCCTGGCACACCCACCCCGAGCGGGGACGGAGCCGGCAACCCCGGCATGTGCCCCGAGTGGGAATCGACACCCAACCGAGCCATGCCGGTCAGTGCAAATTCTCATTTCTTTACCTTCCAGTGCTTTTCTTTAATTACTCTGTGTAATAATTTTAAGGCTGTTTTACTCCCTTGTTCACGTACACTTGCTACTACTTCTAGAATATTAAATAATAGTTTTACTAGTAGAAAAGTTTGCTTAACTCTTAAATGACACTGAATATAACATTTACTAATTAAGCATGATGTTATCATGCTGGCTTATAAGATACAATGTTGAGGAAGTATCTGTGATATTTTTGCTCTAATAAGGGATTTGATCTACCATGGACACTGGATTTTATTCAAATGTCTTTTGGCATCTTTGTATATGATCACAAGGTGGTTCTTCTCTAACCTATAGTAACTAATACTGTGCTACCTTTGCAATAAGCCCTGGCATCTATTTTAATGTATTATGGAATTCTAAGTTTAATATTTGAGATTTTAAAAATATTAATGAGATAAATTTAGTTTAACTATACTGTTTGTCAAACTTAGTATTATTGGTTTTATAAAAAAATTAAAATCTTTTTCTTTCTTTCTGCTATGTGCTGGAAAATTTAACATCATTGGAATTATCCTGTCCTTGAAATTTGATTGATATCCATGAAATTCAATCTGGAAATAGAACAACTTCTTTAACCAAGCAAAGAGGCCATTTTTCCATTGGTTATACATTACTCAATTAGTTAAAATCAGTCAGTTGGAACTGATGAGAATTCTCAGAATTTTCATTTCTTTTTTGGTAGTGTGAATGACTCAATTCTAGATCTAATTAGCCATAAATAGTTTCCTATTTTTAGGCACAATGAAATGAAAGCTGAAAAACTGCTTCAACTTTCTTTTTAAAAATTCTGTATTCCTTTCTAAACATTTCCTGTTCATTAAAGAGAATACACCTACTCTTCTTGTTTTTCTCCATGGCAGCAAGACACTCTCCTTACTAACCCCACCTTCTTCTATGAGAAGGCTGAGCCCAGTGGCTTCTGGCACTTACTTTTCCAGTTCCTCCTGGGAGTGTGCGAACGTACAGCTGGCCCCACGGGGGCATCCTCCTCTCTGCTTCATATCTCGGCACATGTATGTTTTGTATTTGCTATGCTGTGGAGGCTAAGTCCAAAATTAAAACATTAGACATTAAAAAAAAGATGGAAAAATTTCAGTGCCATTTTAGGATGTTGATAATCTAGAAGAACAATTCAGACTGACCGATACACACGCCTGTCTAGACCACTCAGAGGAGAAGTGCTGGAAAGGCATTCTGTCTTATTTCAGAGAGGCCCAAAATCAGTTAGTTAAAAAGAATGTAGTCCAGATATTCTGATATGTTCTCAAACAGGTACCAAGAGAGGGAGGGAGGGAGGTCAGGAAAGGAGAGAGGTAGAGATAGGTAGACAGACAGACAGACAGACAGACAGGTAGATATTTGTTATTCACCCATTCTTCCATTCATTGGTAGATTCCTGTATGTGCCCTAAGGATCGAACCCGCAACATTGGCATATCGGGATGATACTCTAACCAACTGAGCTACCCAGACAGGGCTCACATAAATTTTTTATTACCTCTCATGAGGGATTGATGATATTCTTTCCAGGTTTTATAATGAACAAACTGCTGAAGTTTAGGACTTTTTAAATGTTTAAACTGTCTTCTAATATTTGTACTGAACAATGTTTAATATAGTATACTTATAATTCTGTTTCTTTTTTAAAAAAAGATTTTATTTAATTATTTTTAGAGAGAGGGCAAGGGAGGGAGAAAAAGGACAAACATCAAATGGTTGCCTCTTGCAAGCCCCCAACCAGGGACCTGACCCGCAACCCAGGCACATGCCCAGGTTGGGAATTGAACCTTTTGGTTTGCAGGCCAGCACCCAATCCACTGATCCACACCAGCCAGGGCTATAATTATGTTTCTTTATAACATACCACAAGTCTACAATAAGCCCTGTAAGTGAAAATTACTCTGTAACCAAATCTTGACATATAGGCTATACCAAGGACTTAACATCTCTTCAAAGGTACAAATGAAAGAATGTTTACAACTCAGTGATAAGGCAGGACAGTGGATTTGGGGATTAGTATGTTATCAAATGAAAATGATAACATTTAAGTGAATGTTATTTAAGTTATTAAGTGAAATAAAATTTAATGTGTTTTTATCACTTATTGGCAGAATTTAAAGGTTAATCTTACTAATTTTGTCACATTCTTCATAATGTCTAATGGAACAGGGAGTTAAAAAATAGGTTTTCTTTTATTTCTGAATCAAAAAATAAAGCTCTGATTTGTGTTTAGAATGATTAGGATAATTACATCCATATTATTCTACTTTAGACAGTTTTAATATTTCTTCCTTCCCAAAGAAGATTAAGAATAGAAAATAATCTTAATATCTACCTGAGCCAGATAATTTAATAACAAAGTTTTAATTTTTCAAGTTTACTACTGCAAAATAAAAGAGCTAGTAAACCTAACATAAATCCTGAGAGCAAAACAAAATTTTGAGCAGTAAAATGAAAAACTCTAGCTACACGATCTATTATATTTCACCACCATATATTTCATTTTTAAATACTTGAGAAAATGTGGCCCACTGGCATAACAAGCATTAGGAAGGAAAAATTTTAAAATACTATAGAAAAAGCATTTACAAATGTGTGAATGGTATTGGAAAGGGGTAACATTAGAATGAAAAAGTGATACCTGTTGTCAAACAGAGATGTTTTAGTAACCGAAGAGAATAATTTGATCTAAATGGAATAAGCCTTAGCACAGAATCAAATGCTGCTATACCCACCGAGAAAAGTGAGTCCAGAGTAACAGCACGCCAACAAGAATTACTTCACTTCAATGCTCTCACATAAAATTACTAGACTAAGCCAGTAACTGGCTGCTTACCACGCTAACCTAACATATCGTCTACCCAGTCAGAGTCTCAGAATGTCTGCGTGGCCCTGCTGGCTTGCGCGCGCCATGAGCACACCTGCGGCGGCTCGCCGCTCGGTTCCCGCCCCCTCCCTTACCTGCTGTTGGTCCGCTCCCTTCTTGCTGTGGTTCTGGATGTAATCCACCAGCCCGTGGACCACTGTGCGCACGGCAACCAGCCCATTTTCTAGCTGTTCCCAAGTCGGTGGAGGAGCATCTACGCAATACATGAAAATAAAATTTTAAAACAATGTTATGCAATGTTTTGAGCAACATTAAATTAATAACAGAGCTGTGTCAGCACTTCAGTGAATTCAAGTTAAGCTTCAGGTGATAGCTTATTCACCTAAACATCATTTTAAAGAAACATATACATTCTTCTAAATCTGGGGTTGCAAACTGAAATAGCTGTAGGGACAGGGAAGGTAACATAAATAAATTAAATAGACCAGACTATACATGACAACTGTCATTAGACCCTTAGTGTCGGAAATGACAAGAAAAAGAGGGGCTGTGTTGAGCTGGAGAGTATGTCTCCTATCTAAGGTCATGGTTACTATTAAACTTCAGCTGATAGTTGTTGCGTGAAGATGCAAGGCTGGCACTGCCAAATACACAACAGTTGCCCAGGGAGAGCTGAAATTTTTATGTAAGATTATCCAGTTTTTAAGTGTTGGTACCTAAAAAATTTAGAATATTGTGTTAGACCAACACTGTGTGCATCAATCAAAACCTAACTGTGGACTGCCTACAGTAAACCAATCTGTAATGTGTATTTTGAAATTCTGTATAAATCAAGTATTGGTAAACAAATTTTAAAACTTAATAGAAGAGCTAATATATAAAGCAACTCTGTTATCCATCTTCCTCATTTAATATGTTATTTGTCCAGGACCAGCATTGGGATTTTATAAAAGGAAAAGTTAACTACAGGCCTAAATATGACATGTTGTTCGTTCTTTCTTTCTTTCTTTCTTTCTTTCTTTCTTTCTTTCTTTCTTTCTATCTATCTATCTATCAGAGGCACAGACAGACAGACAGACACATCAATTTGCACTTATCTATGCATTCATTGGTTGATTTTTGTATGTGCCCTGACTGGGGATCAAACCTACAACCCTGGCATGCTGGGACAACACTCTAATCAACTGAGCAAACCAGTCAGGGCTGAAATGTTCTTTAAAAGAAATATTAAGTGATGTGAGAACACAGATGCAGAGATGACTTCAGATGGAGACATTCTGAAAGATTTAGGTGATGACTTTGGAACTAGGCTTTGAAGGACACATGGAATTTTAATAACAACAAAACAAGATGAAGATGTTGAGAAGGTAAGAAGAATGGTCACACGAAGTATTTTTGGAACACCTTATTCCCAGGGATTGCTCTAGTTGCTGGAGAAGCAGTAGCAATCAAAACAAAAATCCGTGTAATATTCAAAGAGAGGAGCCAGGTAACAGATAAGATAAATAATCAAAATACAAACTATTTAGATTATTATGAGTTGAATAGAGCAAGGATGGGGCGGAGACAAGCACGTGTAATTCCTAGAAAGGGGGACTGAGAAGGCCTCCTTGAGAAGGTCACACCCAGTCGAAGGCCTGAGAGGAGGCTCTGAGGGCGCCCTGTGAATGTACAGAGAGGCGGACAGCCTAGCAAGAGCGCGCAGAGGCCTGCTGCGGGAGCGCGCCTGGCCTGTCTGCAGGTGCAGTGGAGAGGAGCACCGGGGTGGAGAAGCGTAGGTGACAAGGTGGGAGAGAGGCAACAGAAGACGGATCCTGGGCAGCCTTGCCGGTCACGGTAAAGATTTTGGCTTTTACTGAGTAACTAAAGTCCTGAAGAATTTTTGAGCAGAGGGTAACAGGATCATTTCGGTGCCTAAGCTCAACCAGACAGACAAGAGGAGGCTATTCTATAGTCCATGAAGAGAGATAAGGCAGCAGCAGTGAAAGTGAGAGGTAGGTGGGCCCCTAGCAGATTTTAAAGACCGGGCCTACAGGATATGCTGATGGAGCAGATGTACCTTAAGAGAGAAAGGTGAGTGGAGGAAGATACCACCAAGGTGTTTGGACTGAGGAAATGGAAAGCTAGAGTTGTCACTAACAGGAACCGGGGTGGGGCAGAGGCTTGGAACTCCCTTTTCAACAGATTCAGTTGGAAATTCTTATCTGATATTCAAGGTAGAGAGGAATGTTGGATAGTGAACAGGCAGGTGGACAGACAAAAGAATTCTGGAAGACAGTCTGGACTGGGTATACTGTTTCACAGATTCTAAAACACCACCAGTTCTAACACACACATATCATTATTTTATGTGCCAAAAAACTTTTCTAAAGATTGCTAATTATCACATGCCATTGATTGTACAAATGTATCCTGATTTCAGAAATGCTAAGATCTGAATAAAACTGTGGGCTTCAAAACTGATGAGATATAATAAATTCATGAGTTATATAAATAATACTTAAAGTTGCGAGACTTTAAATAATATTTAAATAACATTTAAAGCATATTCTAGGGAATGAATATAAATAGAAAACAGAAGAGATACAAGGATTAAACTCTGGAAGCACTCCAAAAATTAGAGGCTTGGGAGGGGAGTGAAATGGTTAGAAGCTACAGAGAAGAGAAAGCAGCAAAGGAGGCTGAGGAGGAGGATCCAGCAAAGGAAGGAGGAAACTAGGTGAGAGTGCGGCCTGGAAGCCACGTAAAAGAAGTGTTACAAGAAGCAGAATAATCAACAACATTAAATGCTGCCAATAAGTTACATGCAAATACTGAGAGTTGATGTTTGAAATCAGCTACATGGAAGTCACTTGTAACTTTGACAAAAGCAGACTGGTTTAAGTGGTAGAAATAAATGCCTCCGTGCAGTAAGTTCAAGAGCTAGAAAAAGGAGAGAAGTGGAGCGGAAGGTGGATGGCCAATGGTGGCAGAAATGCGTGGTAATGAGAGGAATAACAGTGTGTTTGTATGCTGGTAGACTCTAGTAGAGAAGGAAAACTGATGGTCAGAAGCAGAGACACTGTAAGGGCAGACCTGACGAGATGGCACAGGTAGGTGAGGACGGAGGGTGGCCTCGGCTGCGAGGAGTCTATCCGCTCTTACACGAGGGGCACAGGATCTCCCGGCGCCGATGCGGGCACACGGCTGGTGGTTGACGGGGTGCTGAGCTTGTGAAGGTGTGTTCTTTTCATTTGGTTCAGAATGACCAAAGCAGAGAAGTCGGCGCGGGGGGGGGGCGGCGGAATCATGTGTTCTAGGGATAACTCTGAGTTGGTTTGATGAAGCAGTTTTGGTAGTAAATCTACAAGGGGAGGCTGGTATGAAATTAGAGTGCTGAATGCCATATTCAGGAGTTCTAAACCTTCTTCTGTAAGCAGTGGGGTATCACTGGAAGTTTTTGAGTGTAGAAATAAGATCAGCAAGTGGAATGGAAGGCATTTAGTCTCGGGAGAGGGGCTGAGGCCCTCGCTGAGGCAGCATGAACAGGCACGGACAAAGGGATATTGTGAAAGAAGAACAGACAGACCCTGTTATCTGGAATGGTATGTGGAGCAGGGGAAAGGAAAAGATACAAAGTAACAAAAAAGACTCAGGTTTTATGCTCACATACCTCAAGAATGAGGTCATTTACAGAGAGGGAAGACAGGAGGAAGAACGGGTGTGGAGTGAAGAAGAAACGAGGAGATGATGGTGAATCTCAGAAAGCATTTGGGAAAGTGTGTCTGGAGTGATGAAGAGGTAACAGTGATAGAGATATTTGGGAGTCTATTTTCCAGGAAGAGATAGTGCCTGATGCTGGGGATGAAGGACCACCATCAATAGAGTGCAGAGAAAGCAGAATTCCAGAACACAGCCACCCCACTCCTTGGAGGGCAGGGGAGGCATGAATGGTCAAAATGAGACAGAAATAGCATTTAGACCAGAAGAGAACCATAAAATACAGATATAAGCTATTACGAGAGTTTCCATATCATGGAAGTGGTCAAGAACATTATCAAATGCTGAAGACAAATCAAGTAATGTGAGGGCTGAGAAGCCGCCTTTGCAATTCGAAAATCAGAAATTACTAGTGAATGTTAGGAGAGTTTTAGTTCAGTAGTGTGAATATACGCAGGGACAGCAATAGGATACAAGCCACCATATCACAGATGAGTATTAGGTGAAAAATAAAGGTTGGGTGATTTTCAGGTCAGGAAGAGGGGAGAGGAAAGGGTTAAAAATAAGAGAAATGGTTGACAGAACAAGGTATCAGAGAAGAAAGAAAAATGGGACCAAAAAAAATTGCAACTAATGACATATGATTCAGAAAAAATGAGAAAACTTGAGTTTTGTCAAAAGAGATGAGAATGGTAAAATATAGCACAACTTTATGATGAGAGAAAGTGGAAACATAAAGGATTCCAGAGAGAATCTACTTTGCTGGTGACATGAACAGCATAATAAAAAACATTAAATAACTATTAGTTGAAGCAATAATAAAGACACGGAGAAGATTGGGGCCAGAAAGTTAAAATACTGTAGAAAAAAACCTGAAATGACCATTCTGGAAAATTCTAGAAGGATGTAACAAAAAAATAATTAAAAGAATCACTGAGCAGCCTTGGGGCACACACAGGATGCAGTCCACTAACCTCCCTTGGGCTCACCTGGGCTAGGGTCAATGTTCGCTAACAGCTCCAGATGGGGTCTCAGCCGGGTCAAGTTTGCTGGATCTCCAGTCCGCTGGAGAGCAATTGTTAGTTCCTGAACACTTTGTGCAAAAGAGGCTGGAGTCTGCAACTTAAAAAAGAGAAATATTAACTTCCCCAAAGGCTAGATAATCTTTTCAAATAGAGGTTTTACAATAGTGACAATCATTGTTGCAATTCATTAAATTTAATTTTTACCCTCCCGCACACCCCACGCCTGGGCCAGACTGGCTCCCCGGCTGCCGCCTGAGCAAACCCGGCACCGCTCTGCGCCGACAGAGCGCGGCGCACCCCTCTGCCGCCGGTCCTCACAGGGAGGACCCTCAGCTCTCGGCTGGGAAGTCCTCTTTCCATTTTATGTTCTTACAGTTTGGCTCTTGGGACCCTTCCAAATAATTGAAATTTGGAAATATAGTCTAGAGATAATGCTATACAAAGGCAAAAACAATGAAACTGAACTCAGTCTGAGTTTGAGTTCAAGTTCTCTTAGAGACCGAAGATCATGACACTGGCTATAATCTTCACAGAATCAGTCTGAAGTGCATGTGTTATATGGATTAAATAATTTCAAAAGTCTGCTGTAACTCCAAAAAATCCTATGTTGGTTTGGGATTCTTGGAAGCCATCAGGGTGCGTGTTTTCCTAAGGCCTAATGACATATATAAGAATTAACTTCCTTAAGTTGCCCATGTATGACCTTTAATAGGAAAAAATATTGATTATGTGATAGAAACTAAGGATTTATATTTGGAAAAATTAACTTTATTAATACAGATGAGAATATTTCCTTTAGAAAAGGTTACTCTATAAAAGGTAGTTTTTCTTTAAAAGCATTCAATTAAAAAAAAACATGGAAACTAACATTACTACTAGAATGCTGACATGCCTGTATTTAATTTTTTTCATCTGTGCCTGTTTTTTTTACATAGTTATAATCAGTTCATAAATTATGGTTTTGGCTACTGCTGATATTATAACAAAAGCATTTTTATATTGCTATCCACAAAAGTAACTGTCTAATATGATGACAATACCCATGTATTTAACCACAAAGACTTACTTAAAATACTTCACTAATATTTTTCTTAAAGAAATTAAATATTATTTGTCAGTTGCAGAAAGTATCTGTTCTGACATAACTGGAATTTTAATGGCCATAAAACAGTGTTCTGAGTAGACAGTTCTTAACTTTAACTCTCCCCTCATTTGCTCCTTTATAAATAATATAACAATTAATACCTTTGAGCTTATAACCTTTTTGAAAGTTTAGATTATTTCCTTAAAACAAATTCCTGGGAATACTAAGTTTGGTCAATGGACTGGATTATCTTGAATTTGTAGGCACTGATGAATTGCTCCCCAAAAGATCTGTAACGCATTTTACAAGCCATCAGCAATGTATGAACATATGTTTCTTTTACTAATTAAACAGCAATGTTTGATTTATCATTGTTTTAAATGTGTATTTAATTATTATTGGGGCTGCAGTCTACCCAGTCAACTAGATATATTTCCTCTTCGTGAACCGTTAATTCATGTTTCTTTGTCCATTAATTTACTAGGATTATAGCTTTTCTTATCAATTTTAATAAATTCTCTATTCCTTCTGTTCAATACAGTAGCCATTAGCAACATGTGGCTATTTAAGTTAATTATATAAAATAAAAATTTTAGTTCATCAGTTGCACAAGTCACATTTTGGTTGCTTAATAACCATGTGTGGGCCCTGGCTGGGTAGCTCTGTTGGTTACAGCGTCATCCTAATACACCAAGGTTGCAGGTTCGATCCCCAGTCAGGGCACAGACAAGCAGCAACGAACAAATCCGTATATAAGTGGAACAACAAAGTGATGTTGCTTTTTCTGTCTCCCCCTTCCTCCTCCACTCTCAAAAATCAATTAAAAAAAATACCCCGTATGGCTAGTGATCACTATATTGGACAGTGCATATAGAGAACATTTCCATTACCACAACAAGTTGTGTTGCTCTATATAATGATAATATGTCACATATACTGCAAAGCTTGTTTATCAGTTTGTTGTTTGAAAGTCTCTGGCTACTAAATTCAAATTCTTGTTCATAATATGAGAAAATTATTGTAGGACATACACCTAGTTATAATAAGTCCAGTTCAGACAATAAGGTCAACCTCCTTGTAGGATCCTTAAAAAAAGAAGTCAATTTTCTCTCCAGAGGTAAAAAGTCACTCCTTTAAGAGATCATTGCTAGAGTTTCAATGTGTTATAATCAGTCAGTTGCATAATTTCAGACCTATAAGTTGCAGGTAAAATTTAGTTAAAGGCATCTAGGGAAGGCTTAAAGGACAGCACAGGTAATGTATATTACTAAAATTATGCACCAGGTAGTTATAAAACACATTTCCCATTCTCCTTCAACATCAATCTCCTACTCATTCAAATACTTCTATCTCTGGGAATAGCAAAAAAAAAGATAAAAAGAGACAGACAGAGTAGCCTGGAAAGAGGCTTAGTGGTTAAGAGCGTGGATGCTAGAGGCAACATGCCCCAGTTTAAACCCAGACCTGTCACTAGGTATATGTGCCTAACCTCTCTGTCTCTGTTTGGAAGGGACAGTACAGGGCTGTTGGGAAGAATAAATGTATGAATTCTTTAAACCACCAGGCATGCATGCAGTAAGCTTTCAGTAAGTGTTAAATATGTCGGCAACATCCTCACCTTATTCCTCCCAATGAATGGTAGGGTGGATTCTAAAGTATATAATCTATGTGGTTGTAAGTATGTAAGGTAAAATAGTAAAAATTAAATACTGTTACTGAACATAATATATTTACATGGCATTCTAAGGCTTTTTTATAGGGTTTCATACATTTCATATTGAATTACAATACATTTATAGTATGCTCCAGGTTTCTTTCTTTTTTTCTTTTTTGGACACTCCAGTTTTAAGAAAATTAAAAATAGCTCTTATGAGTTAGAAATAAATAATGGAGGCTGACCTAAAATTCATGTATACTTTAGTAATCCTTTCATCATAACAAACCACAGATAAAGGAGAAATAAGTTAACTAAAAATTGGATCAAATTTAGAATGGTTGGTAATTTGTGTGAAATTTTTCTGAGAATGTATGAAACCTCAATGTGTATATACATCTTCCAGACCATTAAATGGCTGCTACAAACAGACAATTAAGGCACTTAGAAAGCGGGTTTAACTAACACAGTGAACAAAACTCGGGGAACAGTGAAAAAAGGGAGACAATGATATGAAAGAGATGAGAGCCTCTCAAAGAAACGAGCGAGTGCGCTCTGGATAAAGCATTACAACGCCAATCAAATCTTATATGAACGTTGTCCATTATACCTCAGTTAGAAAGACCTTTATATTAACAAACTGGTATATGATGTGGCTAGTTACGACAAGACGCCCAACTACAGAGAATATAATTTACGGAAGTCTGATGCACAGTACTCACTTTAACACACGTTCGTTAAATAAATGAACGATCAAATCATGAGCTCCCAAAACTCGAGGATTAGTCCTAGAATTGAGGAACACAAAAGGTCTACCTTGTCAATAATGGACTGCATGTGCGATTTGTGAGACTGGTCTCCGTAAAGCAAGGAGGACCACTGGTCCGGTGCAATCCGTAAGCCAGCTTCCATCGCAATCTGCACTATCTGGGAGTCGTGTTCTCGCCGCAGAGCCTCGTAGGTTCTAAATTCTTCCTTCAGCTGCATCAGAGAAGAGTCTTCATCGCGTTTGGTGACCTGTTGGAGCACACCGTGAGTCAGAGAAAGAACAAAAGGGCCTTATACTTTGTAAGAGCATTTACAGATGACAGGTTATTTGTAATGTAACAATTTTCTTTTAGTAACAACAGCAAGATTAAAATGGAGCCTACCCTTTTGCCAATAAAACATCTCCCTTTAGAGATGTCAAAATCTTCTGGGATGAATATGTGCTGGAAGAAATCCAAAGACTGAACAGGCCTTAACACATAATGCAGTTTAAATTGTACGTGTGTGTATATGCATTCGTGAAAAAAGAATAACACCAGTCCAACTATCCTGGAAAACAGTGTATGTTTGTTTTCTGTAACTGTGGAATGCTAATGCTGGGTTTGCCTGGCGCTGAGCTGGCTGGCGCTCACAGCTGGAGCTTTGGGTGCTGGTGTGATTCTGAACATGACTCATTTTACGTCGCTTAACTCTCCCAAGGGTTTCGTAGGTTGAGCCACCAACAGAAAGTATAAATTCCGAGACGCTGAACTACAACAGTCATGATAATGATGACAATATCTTTTAGTAATTAAAATAAGCAACATGTATTGAGCACTTAGCATGTGCCGGTCAATGTATTAAGCTACCTTATCACTTGTTATACTGAAGTATTAACTCATTTAATTTTCTGAGTTTGTTGAGGTAGAGGCTATTGTTCTCACATCCAATAATTCACACTTTAAGTCAAGCTGTGTTTAGGCCAAATCCTTAACATATCAAAGTAAAATAACTGATTCTTATCTAGGACCACCTATATTCTAACATATTTTAGAAAATATTTTGTCTGTAAACCTTTTAGGACTCAAATTCCTCTAGAAGAAAATTTCCACCAAAAAAGCTACAAAATGTTTTAGTCAAGACTTCCAGGTCACACTAATACAATATTTGAAAACGTATTCCATTCTTATTACAAGAAGATCTAATTTAAATTTTGTTAGGTAAGTCCATAGACAGACCAAATAGATAAAAAAAAATCAAGAACTACAGTCAGAAAAACTAAATATATTTTGCCACTATTAAAAAGCACATCAAAAGACCAAACACATATGCATATGTATGAAAATATCTCCTCAATATAGGCTACACCTCATTAAAATGTAGACTATGCTTTTTATATGGTATATTGGGGTTCCTTGGACTTGGCTATCAACAGTTTCTGTAACTAATAGCAATCAAGGATTTCCAAGAAATACGTCTAAAGCCCTGGAACTGTACTGTACTGAATTATCCCACAGCTTGGAAAGCTTTTCAAATGGAAATAAAAGAGATACTAGAAGGACTCAACTAGAACACAGCTCTATGAACACATGCACTTGCAGAGAAGGATGGAAAACAAGAGTCTGATTTGAGTTCCATGAGGAGGATGAAATGGGTATTGGCATAAATTCTGACACAGTGAATATATTTTGGGGTATGGACCTAGTGCCACATGAAGAGATAAATCTTTTCATGAGTCAGAATGTTGTATAAACTACACCAAGAGAAGAAAGTAAGTGGACAATGAAATAAAGAGAAATAATCCTGACCCAAGGGAAAACTGCTGCATTTTTACAGATGTCCAACCTTTTAAAAAATTACTATTCAAGCCTTTAATTCAGATTGAGAAGTTCACTATGGGGGTGTCTGGGGTTTCTGAACCCCTTGCTATTCTTTGCAGGGCTTTGCTGGCTTTCCTTTTCCTTTGCACGCTTCCCACGTCCTATCTGTCTGGTACTGCTAATGGAGAACAAGTCATACTGAAAGTATAGACATTCTGAAGTGGCTTCTGGATTCTACCACACAGTCATGTTGTCACAACCACTTATAACAAATGTGCTCTCTTCACAGACAGTCTGGACCAGCTGGAGCCATTCTGGCTCGAGGCTCTGACAGCTCCAGAGGCACCCAAGGAAAATGATCGGGATGGGGACGAACACACGCGAAGTCCACGCCCCACTTTCAGTGCACAATCTGACTCTAGAAAGAATAATGCTGGCATGTGGATAGAGCTTTAAAACAAATTCTTGCCCTGGACAGGTAGGTCAGCTGGTTAGAGCATTGTCCCAATATGCCAAGGTTACGGCATGTACAAGGATCAACCAATGAATGCATGGACAGGGGAAAAAACAAACTGATGTTTCTGTGTTTCCTTTCTCCATTCTTCTCTCTCTCTAAAAATCAATCAATAAATTTTTTTTTAATAAATAAAATACATTTTTAACATTAACTCTGTATATTCTCCTGTTGATTTTGTGGACCATTTTATTCTTTTCAAAAAATGAGAGGACAGAATATAGTAGGATGGCTAATGTCTTGTTTGAGTGTCAGGTGAGGGATGGGGCATCCTCAAGAAAGGATTTCCACACAGCTTATATGAATTAACAATATTGTAGAGACGTGCTTCCCTGGTCCATGAAGTACTGGTTATGTGTTGTATCAGAAGCCGGAAGCCTTGACATTAAGAAGTCAGGAAAACAAGACGAACGATAAATGATACATCGTGGGCACCAACGCCGAAGCAGCACTGAGCCAATCCGGGGTGCGAAAGAGCACGCCCAGCACCACTACATACGCTGAAACCCGAGTGGCAAACGGAGCTCCAGGGCCTGGTGTGTGGGACTGTATCGGAACAAGTGGCCAAATGAAGCTTATCTTCTGCTTCAATGGCATTCTCTACTCAGACCAATTCTTGTTGTATCTCGGTGGAAAACTGACACAGCTTATTAGTCTCTCCAAATACAAAAATCTGTAAGTTTTGGTTTGATCTATAGTGTTCATTATCTAACATCCAAATTTAATACAAAAGGATTTAACTTTAATAGGACACTATCTATACTCTTTAAAAGAAAAATTGCTGAATTTCCTGAGAAGACACAGGCAGCTCGACTAAACTCCAAGCTGTACTACTTGTTTAGGGAAAGGCCAGTGTCTCCTTTAAGTGGAGATGCAACAGAATTCCTACCTTGAAGCAGGAGGCCCGATACAGGAGCTGGACAACGTGCCCAATGCTCGTTTTGGAGGCTTGAGGAAACCGGGGCTCCAACCTTTGCACCACAAAGAGAACCAACACTTTTCTTGACAAAGCAGAACCATCTTCTAAGGCCAGGAGAACCAGCTTTAGAGCTTCTTCCTGCATTGCTAGGAAAAGTTGGGCAAAACCAAAATTTATCATGTGCAGGGATAAGATAAATCCATTTATTGGAAGGGCAATACTCAATAATTTTTGCAGGTATCACTTAAGCAGACAACACAATAATAGGAAGTCACAGTGACACTTTTTACGCTTTTGGGGACACTTTTGTATTTTGCATATTTTATCTAGGAAAGCAGATAAAAAGGTAACACATTTAAGAAAAACTTCTATCAAAATGAACAAACTTTGGCATTAAGAGAAGGTGTAAGCACTCTGAGAAACTAACATGGAATTGCCCAAGCCATGATTATCAGCGGGATATCTCTTGATAACAACAGAATTTGCAATGAACTAGCCTCTGTACATATCTCTAGGTCCTACACTGCACTTTTAGAATTACTAGTACAGGAACAGTGAAATTGCGCGCTATACCTGGTCCGAGGAACTGGCAGCCCCGAGCCCTGACCGCCGCCCAAAGGTTAGAAGAGAGCTGTTGCGGGTTCTGGTGCTGGAGAATGAGCTCCGTCACTGTTCGTTCACCTAAAGATCGAGCTGCCCGCATGGCACGGATCCTGCCTTCTTCTTCCACTAGCTGGCAGTGGACCAGAGTCACCAGCTTCCTCTGCATCGGGCGACTCAGAACACTCTGAGTAGTGCTATTCAGGCCCACTCCTTTAAAAGAGAGCGAAAAGTTATCCCTCGGTTTGCTGTGCAGTTTCAGAGTCCGCGAAAGTGTGCTCTGCTGGGCTGACTGACTTATGGGCATGTGAATAGTTCTGGGTGCTACTAGAATATCTGAAATGAATCATAAAATCACACAAGTGAAGCATTTTTAAAAGTATACAAAAGCTGTTATCTCATGCAAATATATCATTCATGACATTAAATATACCATTATTCATTTTAATCATGAAGAAATAAAGATTAAGAGGACAGACAATAATACTTAGTTTAAGACCCAAATCTGGAGGCCGTAACAGTTCTGCCGTATTGTTTCACAGTGGCTACTCTTACCTTCCTAATGAGAGCAAGCTGTAATGCAAAGACAGTAATATCAGCATCCAGTCTGACCGTATGCCCTCCCACGTGCCACGTGAAGATGACCAGAAGGCAGGCAGCTCAGAGCTGTCAGACGACAGAGAGCCCTTCTGAAACCAGTGCTGCAGGCACACCTGCCTTTACTTCTGCAACTCATTCAAAAGATGTTTCCAACATCACCTAAACCCTAACTCACTACTTTATTTGATACGGTTTGTGATGACATTATTTGGGACCAGCAAGTCTGGTTTACAATAAATACATGAATTTCATTAAGACTCATTTAATAAACATTTGCTTATTAGCACTGATAAGTGCATCCAATTTACCTCTAGCGCTGCTGAGTGGCTTCAGGTACAGCGCTAATTCTTCCACACATTTCTTGGCTTCCTCATAATGCTTCGTGTCTTCAACCCCACTACACAGAGTAACGGGCTGCTGCTCAGGGACCTAGCGGTCAAAAGGAAAGGCCTCCTTCAGTGCTGACTAATCAATTAAACAAACGCTTTATTGAGTATGCGTGTGTACTGCCACTTAACACTGGTCACATCGAAACTCCCACTAAATTTACTGGATTGTTTTTTTATTTTTTATTTTTTAAAGATTTTATTTATTAATTTTTTGGAAAAAGGGGAAGGGAGGGAGGGAGAGGGAGAGAACATCCATGTAAGAGAGAAACATCAATCAGTCGCCTCTCAAACAAGTGGCCTTTGTCTCTGCAGATGATGCCCAGCCAACTGAGCCATACTGAGCCATACTAGTCAGAGCGAAATTTACTGGGTTCTAGGTAACTCCATATTCTTTTAACCCCAATAAACTCAATAAAAAGAAAAAGATATGACAACGTCTTACTCATTTTGTAGAAAAAGAATCAGTTCATCCTCAAACATCTTTATGAAAACGAGCAAGCCTTGATTATTTGTTATTAAAATATTTTATTTCTAAAATTGTTACCTCCCAATAAGTCTATTTTTAAAATGTTTCCAAAATGTTATACTGGAATTTTCAAATGAAAAAGAAAAATGATTATGAAATAAAAAGCACAGGAAGAAAAGAAAAACAATCAGCTGCACTTTCCCTTTGGACAAATATTTTGCAGTATCGGTGACATCTTTTGAACAAGAACTGCTCTCTATTTCCAACATACATAATATTAATCTTCTCTGCTTTATGGCAGCTTTTGGGAAGGTATTAGTGGGGTTAGATTCAAAGTTCCAATATATTTTTTCAGATAACGATTTATGGTAAACAGATGGTACTTCAGACACATTATGCAAATTAATCTAGTGGGGGATTATTTAAGTGAATCATATGTAGCTTTCAAAACCCTGCCTCCTGTCGCTTTGTGAAACCTTTGGAGGATACCACTGACTTCTACTTTGAGAATGCTGACATAAAATTTTCGGAGTATTACTTTCAGAATCACCACACTAAATTTTATAGGTACCCAGGGATATTTGCTCCTATTCTAGATATGAGGTCCCCAAAGGCTGTGAGCTACAGTCTTTGCCTTCTTCATCTTTCATTTCAGTTAGTGTCTACTAAGGAAACTTGTCTCAAGCAGCTACCCTTCTCTTATTAAGTAAAATGCAATGGTTTTATGAATAACATTTTCCTCAGTGTTGAGAGGTCCCTGTGACTTACTTCCTGGGTCTCTCTAATGGTCTGAAGAGCTAAGACTGTTGAGAAGGTCTGACCTCCAGATTTAAAGGTCAGTATTGCACTGTGACCGAGCCTCACTGGACTCCCACTGCAATTCTCCTAACAGACTGAAAGAAACGAATTGCACAGGACTGAACAGAATTTTACCGATTAAATACAGGGCAAGGTCACTCAGTTTTAATTCAACACGTTTCTCTCAGGAGGAGCACACCCAGCCAGAGAGAAATCACAGAGCAGAGCAGAGCAGAGCAGGCCACGCACGCACCTGAGCGCCCACGAGCTGCAGCAGGGCTGAGTTCACCGGGAGGAGCTCGATGTCGGTGTTGATAGTGGTCTGGTCGAACGGGCAAGCCTTGCGGTGGAGTTTATTCAGGCACATCTTGCAGACAGTATGGCCACAACCCAAGCTGATGGGCTTTCGAATTGTTTCGTCGAAAGTCTGAGTGCAAATTGGGCAGGAAAGGAAATCCGTCCACTGTGGAGCTTGTACAGGCATTGCTTCTGGGGTTACAATTCACTAACACACGTACGCACACACACAAATATCTAAAGCAAAGATTCCACTGGAATCAAAATCTTTGAAAAAAGTTTATCTTTTTTTTAAATATTTTCTGTAGATACAGTCAGCACATAGTGTGAAATATAACCTGGAAAACAAAGAAAAAGGAAAAAAAAATGAGTCCTCCTTTGTAAATTAAACTGTCTTCTCCGCCCAGCATTTGCAACCTTTCACACCGCATTTATGACACCGCAGCCCTTCTTTCTGTGCCTGCACAGAATCAGAGCCGCAATAAAACATCTAGTCTCAGCCCCTCAATTTAAAGACCAGGGACAGACCCCGGAAAGATGAAGTAACTTGCTAAAGTGACACTTGAAGTTAGTAATAAAGTTAGAAAGAACCAGGACCTAAGTCTCTCAAATTTATCTAAATATATGGTTGTTTTATATTTAAAAAGTAGCCTCTTTAAAATTCATTGATTTGGAAAGAGAGAGAAAGGGAGACATCGATTTGTTGGTCCACTAATTCATCAGTTGATTCTTCTCGATGCCCGGACTGGGGATTTGAACCTGCAACTTTGATGCATCAGGACAACATTCTAACCAACAGAGCTATGTAGCCAGGGCCTAAAAATTAACCTGTTTAAGGTGGTTAATAACATTCTGTTTTTTGATCTGTACATCAGATGCATGAATCTGGTTTTCTGTGAAATTTTATCAATCTCTATACTTAGGGTATGTACACACCTATAAAGAGGGTTTTAAAAAATGGGCTTAAAACTACCTTAAAATGCTTTATCATCAAATTTGGCATGGGTAATGAGATAAATGAATAAAATGAAATAAAGAGACTGTAAGTCTTTTTAATGTTTACTTTTAAGGATTTTAGATATTCCTAAGAGTTTAACTTATTAGTAGATATCTTTAAGCCCCAGACACAGCCTGTACTCATTGCCATAATATGTTGTGTTAGAACAATGGAGTTAATAATATTTGCTTCAAGAGATTTTTAAAATCTCTCAACTTTAAGAATGACAGAAGAATTATAATTTACCAGAACCTATATATACTCAATTTTCACCTGGCTGGTGGGGCTTAGTGGATTGAGCGCGGGATCGCAAAGCAAAGGGTCACCAATTCGATTCCCAGTCAGGGCACATGCCTGGGTTGTGGGCCAGGTCCCCAGTAGGGGGCACGTGAGAGGCAACCACACATAGATGTTTCCCTCTCTCCCTCCCTTCCCCTCTCTCTAAAAATAAATAAAAATATTTTAAAAATATATAATCAATTTTCACTGTCTACCCTCTATTTTTGGTGGAGGATAGAAGCCAAATCACAAAACTCATCACCTATGTCTAATAAAAATTTTCTTTGTATATAAAACCCTACTAGAATCTTCTAGCATATCTCTTAAACAATAACTAGTACACTAACTGTAGTGTCTAAAAATGAGAACTGATGCTCACAACAGCAAAGTAGCAGTATTACAAATTCTTAAAGATCTGATTATGTTCAGTAGAGACTACTTACAAAGATTTTTAAAAATCTCATTTAAACTGTGATTAACTAGAAAAGTAATCCACACATTGTATTCCTCAAGTATTTCATTTAATTCATGTTTTATTGAAATAACTTAACCTTAGATATAAGCCCATTATTGATTAGAACAGTTTCTAGGAACACTAAAGTGTTGATTCACTCATTCAACAAATATTTAACTAAGCACTACTACGTGCCAGACTCTGTTTGAACTGTTGGACAAATAGTGAAACAGCAGTCATCATATCTGCCTTCTGAGTAACCTCAGTGTTGTTTGGGTTCTTGCAAGCATGCTACCAGATAAATGGACAAGTAAAAACACTTAATGGTAGTTACCAAGTTAATTTCACATTCAAGATCTAAAAGTTATCTGCATGTATGTTCAAATGGCCCTTGCAATAACTAGAAACAACAGATTGCCCAAATTTTGATTTCTATGTTTTAACTATACTTTCTTTTTTAAAAAAATATTTTGTTTATGCTATTATAGTTGTCCCAACTTCTCCCCCTTTGGTCTTCTCCACCCAGCCAGCCCCCCTAATTATAAACACTTCCAATAAAATAGAGTAGCTACAAATATATTTATATGAAATTATTACTACTTAACAAATTAGACTATCACCTGGAAAGCTAAAAAAAGACAATATGGTTCTGGTTACTTGACTGAACAGCAAAGGCAAGTGCTACGGTTATGCACAGGGTTGCAGAATGCTCCACAATAAAGAACGCAAAAAGGTAAGTGTCTAGAGGACATAGTATTCAAAACAGGAACTGGTTATCAGTCAGAAACTGCTTGCTGAAGCTCATTAAAGTATCATCCATATGAATGTTTCTACAGATTAGCATGGCTTTATAGTAATATCTACAAAGAATCTGATCCACATCTTAATTCCTGAAAAGTAGTTAATGATTCCTTACTTTTTAACTAGTATGGCCTGTAGAGGACTTGAAATTTGTTACTCATAAAGTTAAGATAAAACACAGCACTTTATTCCCTTAAACACTATAAAATACACAAACCCCAAAGAACACAAAAGATGAATGTTTTACTGCACATCAATATAACTTTTACTACTTATACGACTAAGTGCCACATACTGTGCTAAACGCCTTACACAAAGAAAACCTACAAATGGCAGATAATTACTGTATCCCATTTCACAGATATAAAATGGAGGTTTAGATAAGCTGAGTAAGCTAAAAAGAAATAGAGATGAGCTATTAACCCAGATATTCTGGCTCAAGCTCTTAACCGTATCACCACCCATAGACTAAAGGTTAATCATAAAGAAGGAAGAACTACTTGCAGTTTCATTCAAAAACCACTGTCACAAGTTGTACTCCCTGACAGCTACTGGCTTCACAGTAGTTCTATTCTTCTGGCAAACTTGTTGCCAAATAATGGCGGGGTCACTGTTCTGATGGCACTTGCCTTCTCAGCAAGATACAAAACAGATGACTGCTCCCTCCTTCTTGAACGGGTCAATGCGCCACACCGATCCCCTCATCCGTCCCAACTCGCTGGCTATTAACTCCCAAATTCTGGAGTCATCAGGTCTCGCCTTGAGTTTCCTTTTCTCATTCTCCAGCTAAAAATCCTGAAACGGTTTCCTGTTGCATTTAGAATAAAAACAGGATTTCCTACTCTGTTTTATAGAGCCCTAGATGACAGGACCTACAGTTTAGCTCCCCCGCTCTCTCTCACCCGTGTCCCCATCGCCCCTACTCTCCCGCGACTCCAGAGAAGCTTAGTCCTGTCACAGAATGTTCGTGTTGGGCTGGCTGGTCTGTCACACTCTCCCTGTAAAATAAAAAACACAGTCTCCATTTTTCACCAATAACTTTCTTGATCTGGATATGTTGAGTACATTGGTGATCTCTTGCTATTGGCCTCCAGTGGGGAAGAGGCCAGGGGGCCGCCAAACATCTCCCCGCGCCTAAGACGGCCCCACGGCAGAGTTACTTGGGCAAAGGTCAATAGCACCAAGAAACTTCACAAACCACTTCTGACACATTTCATCAGTCACAGCACCTTCCCATATACTACACAAATGTGTTTTTGCATTTCAGTTATTTCACCTTTCTTGAAATAATGAAGTATAACTTGCCAAAAGTAGTACATATCTTACTTCTATCTTCAACATTAAAATGGCTGGACAAAAATTCACCAATTTTGATCAGTTTTTTAAATGCACGCTGATTAGACAGCTGTCACAATACAATCTTAACAAAATTGTTTTGAATGAAGTTAAAGACAACTAAGCGCCGCGACAGCTGTTACATGGAAAAAAGTAAAACTTTGTGGCCAACTTAATACTAGTCTTTCTGTCTAATGTTTGAATTGGAGACCGCCCTTTATCATTTATAAGAGAAGCCACCAAAAATGTCAACTCTTCAGACCTCCCAGACCAGGTGAAACTCTAAAATAACCTCTAAACCCCTCTCTAGTCCGTTACTACATTTAAATTCTATACCAAACATTCCCATCACCTATAAGGTCCATTTTCTTGCTTATATTTTATCCTTTGTACTCAATGTCTATATTCCCCTATTAGAACACAGACTACAGGAGAATGTCACCGAATCGATGAGGCTCACTGTGAAGGCTAGAGGCCCTCACTATGGTTCCGGCACTCTACAAATGTTGCATATGATTTCAAAGAGTTTACAGAATGGTGAAAATCTACTCAGATCTCTAAGGTATTTAAAGACTCCAACCTGTATTTCTCTTTCATGAATCTTAAAATTTGAGATTTCCATATCCCAACACCATGGAATATGGAAAACAGGAAGAAAAAATGGCCATCATCTGTTTTACAAACTTAAAACACCTCCCTGATCTCCCACATGATTTCAGATCAGTGCTGTTATATACAAAGTTTTCCCAATTATTCTGTTGTAACAAAAATTGTTTTAAAAAGAATCATAAAACTTCACTGTAAAAGATATATTAAAGAACATCAAATTCTAACCTCAGTTTTCAAGATGAGATAACAAACATTTATTTACATCCCTATAATAACAAGTATTACTAAGTATTTTCAAACACTGCTTTTCATTTAATCTTTAAAACCTGGAGAATTTGGAATCATTTTCCTTCTTTTTTTACAGAGAACTAAAATGTTATATTCAGAAAGCTTGGCCAAGATCACACAGGTAGTAAGTGGCCAAGTGACAGCGACCTCAAGTTAGTACTTGACACTAAAGCCCATGCAATTTCCACTGCACCAGTTTGACATAGTAGAAACCAAAGACAAGTAACACAATTTCACTCTAAATCATGCAGCTTAACAATGGCAGAGGTGGGATTAGAAACCAAGCTTCCTAATCCTTTGTTTTAGTGTCTCCTGCACCCCCTTTGGAGTACCCTGCATATAAACTCACTGCCGAACCTCTGAATTTAAAAAATATCTTCACATAGTAAAACTACAATTAGCACCCTGGCCAGGCAGTTCAGTCGGTTAGAGCATCATCCTGATACAGCAAGGTCATGGGTTCAATCCCGGCTCAGGGCACATGCAAGAATCAACAAATGAATAAATAAATAAGTGGAACAACAAATCGATGTTTCTCTCCCTCTAAAAATCAATAATAAAAAAAACTACAATTA